GGCAAAGAAACTACAGTAATCTACAGTAATCTTCTGTCCATCCCGTCAAATTTCAGACGAAAAAATCGGAAAAATCGAAAAAAAAATCGTCAAAAACAGCTGAAAACCTTGAAAAGGTCTAAAAATTTTGCAAAAAATTGGAGGAAAAATTAATTTCGTCTCTCGAAAATTCGCGAAAAAAATCGCTAATTTTCCTCGAAATTTTCAATTTTTTTTCAAGACTACAAACTACAAAACATCCTAAACCTCAGTAAAACTTCAAATCGATGTAAATAGGTTTATTTTCAACCATTTTCAATGATTTTCAGCTCATTTTTCTCAATTTTTCTTGCAGTTTTTAAAATTCCTCTGAAATCCTTACATTTCGTCAAGTCTCCAATGAATGGACCAACAAGACACGCCTTCAGGAAACTCTCATAATTGACCCATGCATGATATTGATTGAATAGTGGTGTCGCATCTCGACCGGCGCCACGTAGCAATTCTGGAATTCCACCCGGATGGAATTCCAAGTACTTGGTGACGTCGTAGACCTGAATTTGGGCATTTTTGAATGAAATTATTCGGCGGGAATTTGAAAATTTTGATTTTTATTGGAAATTTTCAGCATTTTTTTAAACCAATTTTTCTGAATTTTCAGACATTGTAATATCCCTAGAATCCAGATTTTTAGGCCAAATTTTCCGAAATTTTCAGATTTTTTGCTCAAATTTCAGCCAGAATTCACTCACCCTCCCAAATAAATGAACCCAACAATCGTCTTCTTTATCATGTTTCATCAATTCCACATGATCTACACCGCCAGTGACCCGTTTCGCCAGATGCTGAAAATTCGAATTTTGTCTCAAAAAATGCCACGTGGCAGAAAAATTTTGGCTCACTTTCTGGAAAAATTTGGCTAGTTTAGTGCACATTTTACTATTTTTTAAAAATAGAAGTGGGCTTTTGGGTGATTCAGAAGAAGAAGAAGACGAGAGATTTTGGAAGAAGAGAGACGCAGAGAAAAAGAGAAAAAAAAGGAGAAAAAGAAGCGGAGAGCATGAGAAAAATGACACCGGAAAACTGGGGGGAAATTGCAATTATTTTGATGAAAAAACGGCAGAGAGAATAGGAAAATTGAAGAAAAATGCAGAAAAATTAAGAAAGAAAATTTTTTACTGAGGCTTAAGACCTTTTGCAGTTTGTAGTCTACACCTCAGCGAGCTTCGTCGGGATTCCAGTTAGAAATCATTAAAAAAATGAGCTAAAAATAATTGAAAATCATTGAACATAAGCCTATTCAAAGCTAGTTGAAGTTTTACTGAGACTTAGGATTTTTGTAGTTTGTAGTCTAGCCCCAGTAAAAATATAAAAATCTCGAAATTGTCCAAGATAGCTCGTTTTTCTCGATTTTTTCAACAGTTTCGACAATTTCTATCATTTCTGACACGATAAAAACAATAAAAGCACTCAAAAATTCCAGAAATCCCTCACTTTATTGGTTGTAAGCCTCAACCAGTCCATAAGCCCTTTTCCTGGTGCCAACGCCACTTTCACCCGGCCATATTCGGACCGTCCAATTGTGGGCTTTGCGAATAGCTGATTTCCTCCTCCATTCACCGATAAATTATTCATAGTGGAGCGAGATCTGCAAATTTTTGAAAGTAAAAATTTTTTTTTGAAAATTTTCAGCGAAAAAAAAATTATTTAACGATAAAAATACTTTTTTCATATTAATCTGAATTTCACTGTTTTGTACTGATGAAAATCTCTAAAAAACTGGAAAAAATCATGAAAAACCGCCGAAAAAACTCTCGAATGACGTCAGTGTGCAGCAAGTGCGCTCTAATGAGAAACCATAGATTTTTTAGTAGAATTGCATGTCTAGGATTCAATTTTTAGCATTTTTCAGTCAATTTTCATCATTTTTGATTTTAAAAATTTCGGAAACAAGAAAATGAGCGATCAGGAGCAGAGGCTAACTGAAATCGAGTCACTAGCCGCGATTTTTCCGGATCTCCTAGAGGATTCTTCAGAGAAGCAATTGATTTTTCGATTTCAAAAAAATATTAGCATAGATATCCTGCTTCCAGACGATTATCCATCAATGTAAGGCATTTTAAACATCTGAAAAATTGTTTTCAAAAAAAACCTTTTTTCAAAATTTTTCAAAAATAATTTTTTTCCAGATCTCCTCCAACGTTCGTCCTATCGGGTCCATATCTATCCAGGGACCAAAAAGAAATGATTCACAACAACCTGAACGAAATCTACGTTGAAAATATGGGATTTCCAGTGATTTTCAACTGGATTTCAGCCATTCAGGACTTTGTTCAGGTAATTTTCACAACTTTCGATTTTCTGATATTTGAAAAGCTGGAAATTGCTCAATTTCTTCCAGGATCTCCCTCAAAACAAGCCAAAAGTCGCTGAAGACGTTGCTGATGACGTGGCAAGGGTTTCAGTGGAAGAGGAGGTGGATGACATGAATATCCAGCATGGAGAGGTCTTCACAGACCGGAAAAGTGCATTTCAGGCACATATGGCAGTTGTGAGAAGCAAGGAAGAGGTAATTTAGACTACAAACTACAAATTTTAAAAAATTGAAAAAAAACAATTTTTTTGACAATTTTTAATTTTTTTTTCTAAAATTTTTCCAATTTTCCAGGTTGATCGAGTCATGAGAATTCTGAAATCGAATTCTAAAATTTGTAGAGCTACACATAACATTTTGGCGTACAGATTTACAACTGAAAACAATGGAAAATCGATTCATCATCACGATTGTGAGGATGATGGAGAGCACGGTGCAAGCTCAAAAATGCTCGAATTAATGGATCGAATGAAAGCCAATAATGTTATGGTAGGAGATTTTGCAGTTTTTTAAAAATATTTCTTTGAAAAATTTGAGAAATTTTGACCCCAAAATCATTGAAAACGATGGGAAATGAACAAAATTAGGAGCGATATTTCATAGTTTGTAGTCTAGAAATTTTTTTCGCTGAAAAATCGACAGAAAACGCGAAAAAATCGCTGAAAAACCTGAAAAAATGCGAAAAATAGAAAATTTCTGGCAAATGTACACTGTACGCAATAATGCGGACAACACATCGAACTATACGACATTTTGCACAGAAGGGCTCAAATCCGGCAAAAAAGGCTGAAAATTGTCTGGAAATTGAGAAAAAAGAGCCGAAAAGCAATTCGAAAAAAATCTACAAAAATTTTGAGACTTTTTGAGCTAAAAATCTCAAATATCGGTAGAAAATTGACAAAATTAGAAGCGTTTTTCAATTCTATAGTTTTCCTGAGGCTTAGGAATTTTTGTAGATTTTTTTCGAATTGCTTTTCGGCTCTTGTGGAATTCGAATTCCACCACAGTGGCGATGATATCAGATCTGCCGGTCTACTGGCCGTCG